CCCCCCGCTCTTTCTATAAAGAAAGTAGATTGTCATTTGCAGTAATCATTGCTCTTTAACATCGTCTCCGCCGACCTTACCGGCTTGTTTCGAGAGGTGAAAGAAATCAGTTTAATGGGGTGACGAAGTGGATGGTTGCATCAGAGGCAGAAGTAGGTATTGCACGAGTGATCGGCAGATTGAATTTTGACTTGATGTTTTGTTAACTGCTGTTATATCGCCGCAGTACGCATTCCGAAAGTCTCACAAGGTTGGCGATTTGCGGACAAAACTTCATTCTCGGACGGGACTCTAACCCGTACTTGTCCTTTCCGGGAACCGTGTTCTTATCCCTTACACTACCGTGACCCCGCTTGCCCTCGGAAAAGTTTTGTCCGTAAATCGCCAACCTTTTGAGATTGAATTTTATTCAGCTTAAGGCAGCCTTTGGGTTAAATAATAGGACGATGTCTCATCTGCTATTTGTGCGAGGTCTTTGTGATAGCGGATTTCGTCCGGACTTGCGGGTTCGAAAATGAACGGCGTTGAATTTTGGCTATAAAAGGGATGACTTGACCGACATCAAGTTACCTTTATTGCTCAGCTTTTTATCGATTCGGTCTGGAATCGTTTGTTGAAGCGGTTGTTTTGTTTGTTCAGCTTCCTTGCCGCCAACGCGACATCCATGGGAACGTTGAATCCATGTCAGGTTTTCCGATCCATTTCAGAACTGGGTCTTGCCACCCGAGAATGATCACCTCCAAATCTATCTTTAGACTTTCCCTAAATTTCTTATTGCATGAATTCATTTTTTTTTTTGTCCTTATCCTTTTTGAGAGCTCAAAATTTGTGGCGATGCAGGAGTTGGGTGGTAAAAAAGCGGTGATTCTTTACTTCTGAGCTTAACCCCATCATTTCGCTTTCTTCGAAAACAGTCTAGTAAAAAAATGTCATTTGCCTCGTTTTCCTTTAGTTCTCCTTTGTTACACAACAGTAACAGTAGGCAAAAATTTCCGGAACATTCTCTTTTTTTGTCACATGTTGCACTCTAAAGATATGGAGTTGCAACAGGTAGATCCCCATGAGCATGCCCTCTAGATGAATCTCAGTATTTTGATGCAGGTGAACTGGAACTTTGGACAAATCTCAACTGTCTAATTGCCAGTGGTGACTTAGCCTTTGTGACCTGCACTTACCCTAACTTTTTTCTTTTAGTAATTAGGTCGTCGATTTTGCTACTCTTGCCCTACTTCTCTTCCAACTACTTTTAAAATTTTTCATTCTCAAATCAGGGTGAGCCAGACGCGCCCNTGCCTTTTCAGACTTTTTGTTTTTGTTTCTTAGCTTTTCACGATCACGATAGATCATTCGAATTTCGAATGAGGACCATAATTTATCGTGAGAAGCGTACATAGTTGTGATCGGTTGATTTAACCCGAGTGAACATCGCAGAATCCTCATTTTACTGTCTTTTTCATCTTTTTCCCTTTTCGCTTCGTTAATAAAAGATGATTTTGCTTTCCCACTACCGTGTACATTTCAGTAATCGAAAATGCGTTTTACAGTAGTATTTTCCCCGTGCCTACTTTATAATTTCGCTCAAAGAAAATTTCTTACCAAAGTTTCCCCTGTAGTTTTGTTGTTGGAATCATTCAAGAACTGCTTCAGTTGTAATTAGGAAAGCCCGTTTTGGGTAGGTGTTCCCAAGGAAGTAAATCATCTCCACCAGTTCCTGGCTTAATTGAAGGGATTCCTGCTAATTTAAGAATTTATGCGTGCAGTTAAGCCCATTCTCTGCCATATTTGCATGTTTCCATTGGCGCAGGCGCTTCATCAGGGAATTTTAGTTATCCGAAGGGAAGGGCATCGATCTGTCAGCCAGCTGCAGCTGATTACGAGCCCCCGGGGTGGTTGTTACCCTGCGGCGACCACAGTTCAACATCTGTCAATTGAAATGTCCCTGGCACTCAAAAACCGTACATCGCTCAGTCAATGACGGGGTGTTTAGTGAAAGTATTAGCATGTTTTGCGATTGGTAAATGCGATGGAGTTATTCGTTACAGCGGTTTGATTAGTTTTTTCTTACATTCTGGTATTGATTTGACATCATTTAGTTATAAAATTGATTCAATATCGCAAAGAGCAGCTCATGCTTTCTAGAAAAGAGCGAAGAAGCCTGAGTACAACTCTTTAAATACTTTTCAGGAGGAGTTTGTTGTTTCAAAACGGAGTGTTGGACGGTGTAGTGAATCCGTAACTATTTCTTATGTGGACCTTACTTTTCTTCCCGTCGAGGCTGCAATAAGTTGGTTCGACCTCTACTAGGTGCTCAAATTTCTTATCAGCTTAATGTGTTCTGTCATCCGCTAGAAAGTTTTCATCGCCACGGTTTCTACTGTGAGCCTAACTTCAGGAAAACCTTGTTACGCATTTGACCTTATTCAAAAGCGCACAACTTTAAATAGAAGGCAAATGCATGGCGCATTCTGATGGGTTCCAGTACAGTGCTGCTCTTGAGCAATCACAATCACAACCACAGATTCCAACAGCTTTTGAGAAAATACTTCCAACGGCTCTTGAGGAAAGTCTTTGTTTCACGAACCTCCCTTTTTGCTTGCGATCGTGGCTACTCCGGCTGGTTCTGTTTCGACCGACCTACATATTCTCTAGTATAGCGGTTCGTTGGCTAAAGTTCCTTGGTCGCAGCGCTGTCCAGCTGACGTACTCGTGCTGTTGCTCCTGCCTTACCTATTTACCTATTCGCTTTTTGATGTTCCTGAAAGCTCCCAGGCATGTACCTTGCAGGAAATCGTGGTGCTATGGACTGGAAATAACTTGCCTCTAACTTTGGCCGCCTTTTGGTGGGTAGCCTGTGCAAATGCCCTTGGAAGGGCGTAAGACGTCTACTGCAACTCAGTAAGCATTGGTAAGCTGGAAACTGTTTGTAAATGACTGTTATGCTATAAATTATATGTCAGATTCATAATGGCCATGTAGGGACAGCCACATGACGTTGTGTTCCTATTGGATTCGAGTGGCATTGTGTGATTGGTTATGAGACCTGCAAGAGAGCGTGCATTATTGGGAGACGGTGTAGGTGGACGTCTGCCTGTGTCGGTCGGATGCTATTATGTGGCTGTACTCAGTGCTCGATGAGGTGGAAGTCAGAGGACATGGAAATGACACGGTTGTGCAGGAGACGCCGCGTGAGGAACCAGTCCATCCACGGTGTGGGGGGCGGCTAGAGATCGTCTTTCCCCTGTTCCAGTGCGTTTGCGGAAGCTGTGAACTCGTAGAATGTGCTTGAAATTGAACTGTTACTTTGTGGTCTTTTTTCAAACTATTCAATTGAATCAAAGATCCCGGAACAGATTGTTTGCAATCCATTCCAGAGGCTTCCCGTTTCATGCTTGCTGAGTTGATTTCTTATGATACCACGTAAATGGTGAATTTTTCAGCCCAACCCCAAACTTTTGCTTTATTTCATTTTCGATCTATGATTTTCCACTTTTCAGTTCTTTATATAGTAACTATCGGTGAGAAAGGCCTATGCTCGATATATAATATCTATCATCAGTGAGATTCAGTTTTGGTCAAAACCTTCTGGTTCTCTAGTAGTTCCTCATTTTTAAATCGAAAAATTGGCTTTACATGAGTAGAGTCATTTCAACTTTACTTCCAAAGATCGTGCCTCAAATCTTTTCACAATAATTACTCGCTAACTTGTTGTTGTTGCAATTATTTCTTTTTTCCATTGATTATGCTCCTTCGAGAATTTTAATTTATTTTGATCTCCTACATTACTAGTCTACTCATCAGTATTTATTTTTCTTAATATATTTCGAGTAGTTTTTTCTCATGGTTTGGTGGCCGGATGCTGATCTAGCCCTGACCATCAATTTACTTCAGTTATTCCTCCTTCGAATTCCAGTAACCGTAATGTGGCGAGAAAAGCTGGTTAAAGGGTTAATGTATTGCAAAACTATGGTGAAGAAGAAGTAGTGAGCAACACTCAGATTCAGGGTCCAAGAATCGACTTCAGAATTGATCCCCATCCGCTCAAGATAAGCAAGCCTTTCAACCCACGAGGTCGTGTAATTGGTGGCAGACTCGGCCTAGGCGGGGAAGGTATTAAGTTGTATGTCAGCTGGGGTCCCAAAACGACAAAATGTTCAACGCAGAAGGCTTTATCGTTTCATTGAAGAGTTAGGCCAACTTCTAGAGTATATGGAGCAAAAGGTCAGAGAAGTTTTGACCGCTTCAATGGCATTGAAGATTCGAGAATAGATGGAAATTCAAAGAAGGAAAATCCAAAGAGTAGGATAGGTTAGAGTAGTCCAATCGTACGTCACCAGCTCATACGTCGTCCTTGCAGTGGCAAGGAGTGACTCGTTGTTGGCACACACTTGTGCTGGAACTTCTGACTTTGCAGATGGATGAAAGGCATCTGAAGTCGCTTCATTCGTCCTCTCATCTGTTTCTCTTTCAACCCACCGGTGCCAGTCAAATGGTTCAGGCTCGTTTAGGGGGACAAGAGCATTAAGTACATCGGCTGGCCCTGCAACTGACTGTGTAGGCCACATACAAATACAAAACGCAACCATTCGAATGGAACTCGAATGCGTGCGCACGCTCCAAAACGGGATTGATCGACGCCGAGACCTCTTAATTCTTCAGCATTCAAACTCACAATATCTACGAGATGCTTCCCAAAACTTTTTTCCATGCATAAAGGGTTTTGGGAAGATCCCTCTTTTCGTCGTTTGCACACCTTCGTGCACTACGCAGATTAGCTTGAAGCATGATTTCCGCTTTTCATCGCCAATGTCTAGATTGTCTAGCCATGCGTGTGTGTGCATTTGAGGGTGAGCAGATGAAACGACGCATCGATCCTGCAAGTCATGCTGTGTTGTGCCAATTCATGGGTTAAATAGCGGCCAGGTTTTTGCACCTTGGCAAATGGCCTCAACTCAAGTACCATAGTGGGCTGAATGGTGATATATTGAGGGCGGCTCAAGTAGTTCTATATAGATTTGCTTTCAGCTGTCCCGTAGTATTTCAACATCCAACACTGTCAAGCTCTCTGGCCAGTTATCGCCTTTGGAAAGTATGTACTCTCCTTTGTTGAACTATATGCCACCACGGGAGAACACTTTCCTTATGAACCTACTGCAAATAGGGACAGAACATTATGTACGACCCAACGTGATCCTAGATCTCATTCTATCCAGGCCTTACCTTTAAGGCGGGTTGCGAATGTAGTTCATAAAGCTCGTGAACTGAAGAGCTTGGTCAACATTCATCACATATGGGTAAACATACAAGGTGGTTCTAGAGCGTTTTACCTTTTTGGGGGATCCTTCGGTAGGAAAAATGAGTGTTCACAGTGGTCAAAAAACACTCGGAACACGACAGTCATTAATGTTGATAGGTTTATTTATCAGTTTCATTCTTTTTTACTTGTTTTCTGTTTTTTTTCGAATATACTTAAAAGCCACGTACGACATCCTAGGTTCATCTGAAAGGGGAAAGGATCAAGCACCTGACACTACTGAGATCTTTGCAGGGGATGCGCCACCGTATTTGCTATCGAATTTTATTGCGTATCCTTTGAATGTCTCCTTCCAATATATCCAATTGTTGTGCCGGCCAAATTGTAGGCCAGTCTTTTCAGAGCCAATCATAGCCCTAACCCTCCACAGGAGTAAGGGTTAATGATGGATAGAATATAATCAGGGATTACAGAGATTATTTTGGGTGGTACAACGCCGCTCCTCTCAAGTTCATTATTTCTAAGTCATTCTTGTATGTTTTAGAATATGTCCTTACCCAAATATTTCGTAATAGTAGAGCATGGTTATAGAAGAGAGGTTCGATCAGTTTTGTAGCAAGCATTTAAATATTTATGCCTTAAAATTTTCTTTTTCAAACGGATGTTACTTGCTCGCCTTCTCGTAGTATGGAAATGGTGGATTTCTAATTATTGGGCTACAAAGGATAAAGTGCCGGGGCATTGATCAATCCTTCTGCGGGAAGCGCCCCGCAGCCCACTTCCATTCAGAATCGTTGTGAGGTATTGAAGGCGTGTGTGGCTTATACAATAACTTGCGGTGGCCAGCTGATCCACAAGTCGGTGCTCTTATCTCCTAGGCAAGTCTGTTACTAATTTACGACCTCAGAAAGAAGAAAAATGAAAGGCTTGGCCTAGGCGGGTGGGATTCGAACCCATAACCATGGGTTATTGGATTGGATTGGACAAAAGGAATGCGCGTTTCGTAACGTCACCAGATTTTCAAACATATTTTGTACAAACATCGGTATATTTATCTACAATCTATTCGCTTTCTCTGCAGATGTGAATGCTATCTTTCTGAAGGCTTTTTTGTCCTGCCTTAAAAGTAGGATGGTTTAATGTCCGATGTAAGTCCGAGAGTTAGACATGATTCCCATTCAGGGTCTCTCTACATATGTGTAGTCATCCATGCTATAAGCATTGACCTGAAAAATTTGGCCCGCTGCTAGTGGCCGCGTTTGCAGACTTTTTCCACGATTATAGGTGTCGGTGAATAATCGAGTTAATGGGCCCTGCTTTCCTGGCTAACTGAACAATGGATGGATTAGCATTCTTCGCAAAACAATTTTGTTAGCCCAAATTTTCTGTTAGAATCTTCTCATCGATTTGGTCTTATCCTTTGCCCTCTTGAACTGCGCCCCTAGCCCCTGTCTCTACTTCCTTTTTTAAACTGACAAAGTTTGATGAATCATGACGTCTTCTGAGCCACGCTGTGAAGCAGGTCGGCTCAATGTCATCTGTTTGTGTGTCGAAGCGTTCGTGATGAAGAGAAGTAAGGGTAAGCTATGTAGTGAGGAGGAAGGTTGTTTAGAAAGTAATTAATGGCACAGCTAATGTTGAGCTGAAGTAATATTTTGAAGTTCCATAGTACGTTTCCTTTATCACTAGTATAGTAAATATCGTCGTTTGACTTGGTCAAAGCGAGGTTCTGCTGAGATTAAAAGTGCCCCTGTGCCACTGAAAACCCTTATGAATAGATTGCTAGACCAAGTTTGATGAGAAGAACGCCAGGTGGCTTTATCACTGAGTTGGATGATTCTGCTGTTTGAAATGGAAATAGTTCTCAATCGCAGTCACAATGAAGCCAACATAGACCAGGAAAGACTGTTCTCATTCAATAACCAACGCTTATCAGTGCTTCACTACTTTACGGAGCACATGGCGCATTCCATAACAGAATCGTACGCCACATACCGCCCCTTCTTCCATGAGTTGGAATTGTAGCATTCGTTTCTCAGGCACTTCCGTCTTAGTCTCCTACAGTAAAACCGTCCTAGTGCAAGGGCGGTAGAGAGGAGTTTGGCCTTTTCCTCGAAAGATCTTTAGCATAAATATCTCCATCAGCATCAATTTTGATTTTGAAAGTAATTGTGCACTTCAATGAAAAGTACAGCATACAGCTCCGCTGCAAGAAAGCGATCTGCTAATTGGGATAACATGTTTTGATTTTCTCTACAAAAACCGCTCTTTTCTTCGAAAACGTCGCTGAACGAACTTATAATCCTTGGAAAATTTGGCTGTTGTAAAGTAGGTGACAGCGGGATGTACGCAATGTCACCCAAGACATCATCTTCTGAAACTTCTCTGAGACAACCCAAAACGGTAGAAAGTAGATCATGCTCTCGGGCTTTACTCCGATAAAATGGAAGCGACCATTCCTCCCCTGTCCCAACATTCCAGGGAATCCATATGGGAATGCACTTTACTCGTAACTCATATGGTTATAGTTTCTTGGTAAACAAGCTGAACATGCTTATAGTGAAATTCTTGGACTACATGAATTTCCTACGAGTTGGTTCTTATTTGGTTCCCATTCTGGGTGGCGTTTCTCTGCGATGAAAACATGAAGGTTTGGACATTTATCTGATAGGAACTCTATGTTCCCAAACATTCTTTCATCTTAAATCTCGTCGAACGTGCGCAGAGCCCAAGAGGAGACTCCCGATCAGTTCGATTCATTCTCTGTTAAGGTTCTTCAAATGCAGCAAAATGGTTCTAGTCCCGCATGATATTAGACCAAAGTTAGGGATAGCCATCGACTAAGTCTGTGGTCCGTCTCCGATTGTATTCGAAGTACACACCCAGTGCACCTTGAAGGGGGCTAGCTCATCATATGGTACTTCCTTCGTCCCCACGTGCAAAGATTCCAGAATTTCCATCTTCTAACCACCTTCGGCAATGAAGCTAAGATTATGATATTGCGCAGAGGCTAGAGAAATTATTCACCGGGGGTGAGGCCTGTGTACTCGCATGTACTACGCTGGAGCCACACTACCTACATATGCTTTCGGCTTAGCACCATTCGAAGTTTCGGATGAGTAGAAGTAAACAAATAAAACTGCTTTTCATTTCATGTACCACACAGATTTGTGAATTCAATCCATTTCTGAACTCAGTAGATCCAGTCAACAACTTTGATTCGGATCTAGGAGAGGGGATGGCACTTGTAGGTTTGTCTGTGAGCGTTTCCGCTGAGGGAAACCTCTTTGCTAGCTCCTTGCTTTAACCAGCTTTAAATATTTTCAAAAAGCGATCCGCCGGCCCATAGTCCACCTTCGATATCATCACAAATTAGGGCAACAAACAGCAATCAACAAACAACAATCTGACTTTGATAAGTCTAATTTAAAGGCGAGTAAAATGGTCGAGAGAGGGATAACGGTCAGAGATTGACCCTAACTGATTTAATGGTTTTTTAATCAGATATTTGCAACCAGCAAAAAATTTGTTGCCAATATACAACAATTATGCAATCATTTATTCACTTTTTTATGGGGCAGCATTAATGCGAATGCATAACTTTTGAAGCGACTTGAGGCTTCTTCCTTTACGGTCTTCTCCAAACCCATGCAGTCTTTTGTATATCACATAGCATGAAACGTAGTAGACTAAGTTTGAAGAGCATTCATGACGGTGTGCATAAATCAAAACCAATCCCTGTAGTTGCGCGCGCCATGCCTTTACCACTCAATGAGCTTCATTAGGGTGCTCAAATGTTGTTAATTGTGACTTCTCTGGATCTCCTGACGCTTATGACAGTTTTCTGTTCTCCAGAACCTGGTTCAGAAACACTTCATGGGAATGAGTCAATCCCTAACCGAGCAGTTGGAGTTGATGGAGAAAGCTTCTTCCGAAGGTCATAATGAAATCAGGCTACTTTGTAGGAGCAGCCAAACTGCTGTCATTTATCCTTCATTCAGTTACAAATCGAATTTCGAGTTCGTATGGCAACTCGCAGTGTTTATGATCACATAGATGAGTGCCGTTGTCAATGCTGTTGAATTGATCAAAAAATATTTTTCAAAGGTCGTTGAATCGAAACTGGATGTTGTGTAAAAATGATAGGGATTCAGAGAGGTTTACTGTCGATTCAATGCATTTATCTACTGGCTTTCAGTAACTGCCTTTGTACTTCTCCAGTGACAGCAATGAACTCTTTCCAAAAAACTTTGTGCTTGAAATGCTATCTGAGATCTCCTGAGACTTGGCTTCATGCTTTGTAGTTTTCCCAGTCCAAATAGTCGAGGGCTTTTAACTGTATCAATCTTGAATGGTATTAGAGGGTGCGGCGTACTCCCATGCCTACTCATTCTGGGTGGAACCGCCTTTGGTTTTTCCCATGGGAAAGGTCTGATCTTTGTTCTCTTTTTTGGGGATCATTTGTTCTGATTGTAATTCGTGATTTCAGTAGAAACACATGCGGTTGACACATCAGTCATCGAACTTATCAACTGGCCAGTTTCTGGTTTCCGGGTGCGCGCGCTCTTCGATTTCACAACGGGTTCTCTGTTTCTTCTGTCAATGATACCGCGTAATGGCGGTTCACGTGACCATGAAAAAGACCCCATTTCAATTATTCATTTGTAAGGTTATTGGTGCATCTTTTCTTCTGTACGCCCCGTAGATTGATTCATTCAAAACGTCATTGACGATGTTAGTTTTATCGTTTTCTAAACATCTTTGCATTTCCTTTGACTAATTCCCTTCACCTATTCGAACAACTATTCAATCCTTGAGAAGAGCATGGTAAGCTAGCCTGAGTTGGGCAGATTACAATCGCATAAATCAGGGAAAAATTGGCCTGTAACGGAAAGTTTCTGTCCTGCATGTGATGCCACCAGGATTAGCTTCCACGTGAGTCTGCTCGATGAGAGTTTCTACTTGACCTCAAACTTGTTTTTCTAATTCACACAAATCGATGTCTTTGTTATGAGTGATTTTCGAGAACATTCGAATTGCGAGTAGAGGAGGAACCGTCCGAATTGACTTTCTGAAGTGCTACTCGAAGAAAACCTTTTTTTCAACCGGACTTCCCACTTCCACTCAGTTTACTCAGGCTTTCACACTTACCATTGGCTTTTTCATAGCGAACCCTTTCATTTCAAGATGTTGTTTCTAGACTACTTTGAAACACAACAGCATTTCAATACCCGGGTGCTTATATTTTTGCCGACGACTGTGCTGTAGCCCTTCTCGTTTCTCTTCTACATATTTTTTAGAATTTTTCCATTTCTCGAATAGCAAAGAATTTCTGCTTGCTGTTCGTAAATGATGGGTGTTTGACGACTGTCGCATAGGAACAGCCAATGTCAATGTCAAATCATTTGCTATAAAGACCGCAACGCAAGTAATCGAGTTGAGCGTTTCCATTGTCTCACAAACTTGATTTCGATGCGAGTTCCATAGGTTTCTAGAGCCCGATCTGAAGAGTCCTAGTAAGGTAGATGAATTTTTCGACGTCAATCGTTCCTCCTATGGAGATGCAAGAATTTTTTCAGAGGATTTCGAAGATGGGGGCTTCTTATTTGAACAAGATTTCTGTTTGCTTCTCCTTTTTCTTCTTTTTTTTGTTCCTTGATCTACCATAACAGTAGGTCGATCCACTGATTGGAGGTACTCGTTGTATTCTTCCAAACCTTCCAACAAAAACCTCTCATTGTTGAAGCGGTAGTCCCCAGATTTGGAAAAATCCTAATTGGAACGCTATTCAACCAGTTTCCCTACATTCCTTTAGCTCGTTCCGTTTCTGCAAAAAGTGGTTGTTGAACTTACACCATTGTTCATTTGTTCACATTGTTTGACTAAGTTTCATGGGAATTCGTTGATTTCAACGGTCCTTCTCCCAAGCCATTAGAATTACAAAATGTTCATGAAAAAGTGGAAGCATGGCGTATACTGACAGCAGCAACTGGGATCTCTTGTACCGTTCCCCTCTGCCCTCTGATATCTTCGGTGAAAGCCAAATTCTTTCTCAACCGCTCTATCAAAGCTAGTAATTCTCAATGGAAAGGGCTGGTAGAAATATGCTCCCTGCAAGGTATTCGAGTGCCACTTTCTGAGATGGAAGACTGCAGATGTACACTACTTATGTGTTTATTAAATCGTTTATTTCTGTTGATTTACTTATTTGGCAGTAACTGCAAGGGGCCTACATGGTTAAACTCATGGAGGAATGCTCCAGATAGGAAGAGAATGCTGAATGACAAGAATAGAATAGATGATGAGATGAAAGGAAGGCTGATGTTGGCAGCTGAGCCCAATATGTCACGCCATGCTATTGATCTCTGCTGGGGTTTAGGTCTGATTCTGGGGGAATGGGTCATTTGTTCCTTTCCGTATTTTTTTCATTCCATGTTCTGCTGTTGAGATTTCTACGAGGTTCCAGCGATACACGCATTTTTGTTGTATATGTAGTTATTTTTGCTTTTCTGAAGTTCTTCTTGGGAGGAACAGTTGACCCGCAAATCCTCGTGAGAACAACGTATTGCTTGACAAACTATTTTTCTAATATTGATTCTATTCTTTTAGATGTTCTACTAATCCTCTCTGGTATCTAGTTGTAGCCGTTTTCTCTTCACGGATCGGGCAAAGATGAATAAGTCGCATCTGAGCCGGGTGAGTCCTTGTTCCTAGTTAACCCCGTTATTAAAAAGATCTTAATCTTTTTCACCAACTTCCCAAGTTTTTTTTTGTGGAATGAGGTTGGAATCTACTAATCAGGCTGTTGCCATTTTTCTCCCAAAAAAGGTTCTAGTCATGCTGTATGCATTGGTGGCCAGCGTGTTATTGCTAGCCTCGCCTTTTCGATTCAAATATGTATAGGCTCAGCAGAAAAAGCTGCCAGAGCTTACCGACCTTAAGTGTTTTATTGTAGCGCTGGTACGCATTCTGAATGATTTCAGGCCAATAATACCGCTGCGGTCGTAACCTCGCAAGACATCGGCAGTTTTGTGTCCGTCAGCGGCGTTGGTAAAGGTACTATCTTATGAATATTGCTTTCATGCTTCCTTCCATGTTACCCTCTGATTTTTTATGGTTTGTCTACTGTCTATCGCTATCATCACATATACTGTAATCTCGCAAAACTGTTCGAATTTCTTGTGTCGGCTTCATTTTCCATTCGGCATATTTATGCACTCGTCTATGAGGTGACTTCGCTCAATTGGTTCATTGCTGACCCTTGCCAGATTCAGCAGTGTAACATCGATTTTGTGGATCAGAAATTGCATTTTTTCAAACATGAGGAAAAAAGAAAAGTTATGTGGTCATAAAATGTGCAGCGCTGCAAAATATGAAAATCAAGTAACACTGAGTCAAAAAAGTCATCCTAATGCGAAAAACGCTCTCTCTCCCAGTTCGCCTGTACGCACGGTGGCCAACATGTGCTATGGTGCCATGATTTTGATTTTTTTGTGCATTTTGTTTTGCTACTTTAAAAGTTGCAACTAGAACAATAATAGCAATAACCATTCTAATTAATGGAGTCGATATGAGCTCAGCTGAGCCTGGCAGGGAGGTCTGCGTCCAAATAATTAAGTTAGGTAAGGAATGAAGTTGACCTGTCAGAGTTAAAGTTCCTATCCCTAATATGTACTTGATGCTCTACACTTTGCGAACTACATAGTAGAGCCATGAACACCTCTGTTCTGGAGGTTCTACTTAACCACAAGGGAGACCGTTCACAGAAATCCTCTGTGAGAGGAGGCTGCCGTATGCTACCTCCTGACCCAGTTTTTTTAGACATTTTTTTGCAATCAAAGTGAATTGTTCTGAGAATGTTTTAGCTGAACTTTTTTGCAACTCTTATAGCCATGCTATTTTGTGGGTTTTTGTGCATTTATGGCTCCTTAGTGAACAAATTTCTTAGAAAAAATCAAGCGCATGGTCTATTTGTTGGTCAAAGATCAAGTCCAGGGCGTCAGTGACCGCATCTACTCAAAAAGATTGAAACGTCTAGCATTTTGCCGAGATTGTCCATGCTTGTGATTCACTGCGAGATGGCACTCTCTGTGCGGCATCTATTATTTCGCTTGGTTGTCGTCACTGATGCTGCCATTTATGTGGTTTTATTAATTTCCCGTTTCACGATTAGCTCATATGAACGGGTGCCAGATTGAACCCTGGTGGACAGACATATTTCCAACACTGAAATTGAATATTCGTGAAGCGTTATAATCACTAAGGGGATCACGTTGGTATCCGGGTTCGAGTGTCACTAATATTTGGTCATCTCGCTATTTATACGTTTGCTTTTTCCAGGTGTACTACACTACGTAGGAGAGGTTCATGGCAAAGATGGGCTTTATTGTGGGATCGAACTGGACACACCAACTGGCAAACATAATGGAACATATCAAGGTATTTAATCTGATTAATTTCTATCCTTTTATGGAATTCTCAGGGATGATTTTAGCAATACATTGAGTCTCCTTTTTGCGTTTTTTTTAAAGCCTCAAATTATGAAGCATTATTTGCTCGTTTTTCAAAAATTATAAGGGCGGTTTTTGAATAGATCTGCACGTCCTGTGGTTTCTCTCCCTTTCCATACCTCTTCAATTTGTGCTTCCACAAGTTCCACCTTCAGTTAGGAGACTGCCATGTTTTTAGGTAACTAATAAAATGCAAACGAATAGGTTCTCATTTTCTTCTTGCTGTGAAGGATTATCCTATACGAGTTGTGATCTGGATGACTCATTCAATAGAATCTTCATGAGGTTGGGGTAGATGGTTGTACTCTAGACCAAGATCTAGCTCTTGGTCGACAAGAATCGATAGCTTGGAAAAGGATGAAAGGGGCACAGTCGTAGATATAGCCGTATGTTAATATCGTGCTCCTGATTAGGTCGTTTTATTATCAATGTTTTACCACTTTAGATAAATCTAGTTTTGTCAGTTCCTCCCTACTTTGTGTGAGAGAGAATTACTGGAGCGAGTGTGGCGCTATTTGAAAGCGCATAAACGCGGACTCGATTATTATCGAGGGTAACGTTTCTCAGCATACACATATTTTTGACCGTTCGAGCAATTTTGTTAATGAGGCCCTTCTTTACTAACTTTTACTGCACTCAGATTATGCAGATGTTCGGGCCAGTGTGTAATAGCTAAGGCTCATAAATCAGTGTTCGAATTGAACATGGGACAAGAAGTCAAGCAAGTTCCAAAGTCAAGTCGAATGCGTGACGCTTCAACAGTGACCATCAAGCGAATCGTTTTTTACCTACTCGGTAGAAAGCGACCTCAGCCAGCAGATTTGGGAGGATTTCCCTTACATTGTCTATGATATGGCAGCCCAATTTTGTTTCGTCAAAGCTTTATCCAAGCAAGCAAACTCTTACCTTACAAGGTCAAACAGTGCGGCGTACAACCTAAGAGAAAGGCACTCGCTTATTTGTACTCTAGCACTCTTCTAACTGATTGCTTCTCATTCTCTATGTGGTACCCAAGTTCCATGAAATTTGGCTAACCCCATTGACAACATGTGTGTTTTTACACATGCCAAAATACGCTGCCAGTTGTTTTCAGGATACTTCCCACGATCACCTTCAAAGAGTTGGATCTTTTCGTAAAGTAGTAGTTGTATTTCTGAAATATCTAATAGAATAGACCGATCCCTTACATTTGGTTCGAGCATGACTTGTCGCCATTCCTTCACTGCTTGAACCCCGCCCCTTTCACGATTAGCACCTCCCCTGACGCCCGAGTTGTCTCTTCAAACCCTTGTTCAAGTGGTTCAATCCTCAATATTTGTTTGAAATGCCGTTGTACTCCTGCTATCACTGCTGCACTCACTGAGTTCGTAGGCCAGATGGTATCGCATGCTCGGAGAATTCCATCTGTGGGGCAAATTGAAATGTTCCAGTTTCACGCTCTCAGCAGTTGTTCCTTCTTGATTGTGCTGCCTTTTGAAAAATTGTGAAGGCAAGTTCAGCCAAACTAAAACAAGTTACATTTTTTTAACCATCCCGTGGGGGTTTGCACCGTCCGGGTGAGCTATATTATATGATGATATGATATATGATGACCATATGATGACGTTCTCGGACATTGCGCTTCGGTTTGTGGCGGTTATCCTTACGACCTGTGGGAGTCTGCTTCTCGCAACTCTCTGTGGAATACTAGTTGGTGCTCACTCACTCGTCGATGAAAAAAGTCGATAGTTTTGATCGTTAGCCAATGAAAGCGGCTTCATGGAATCCGGACTTCCATCGCCATGACAAGTCAATGTCGTGACCCATTATTTGCCTACGCTAAACTGACAAAAGCCAATAACTTCACTCGATACCGGTAGAGCTTTTATATAGTCGAAGCTTTGCTCATCCTAAACATCAACTGAATTTTACTCTTCGATTGAACCTGCACTTGATTACTTGGTTTCCTTTACTTTCCAACCACCCCTCTCACCTTGGAAATTCCTGTTCCTCAAAACGTCTGCCAATGCTTGCCGTTTTTCTATATTGCCCACTACTTTTTGAGTGGCCAGGCAGAGGCTGTTCCTCAGCAAACGGCTTGCTATGAATTTTTGATGTCTTATACATCTGGGCAACTGCTGTAGACATTTTTCCCTCCTTCTTCACCCTGCCACTCCGACCCTATACACTTTTTCTGTGCCCTCAGGGCATCAGGGATGTGTTGGCATAACTTTTACTTTTCTCAGCTCAGCTCATGTGCACTCTTGTAGTCTGGTGTTCCAAGCCCTCCTTTCCCAAACTTGCCCCTTCCTCCCCTGTTTTCCAGTTAGACCCTGAAATCACTAGTACGCAACGTCCCTAGGAACCACTAAACGCCAATGCTCGGTTAAGTTGTCGAACCATTCCTGTCTGCACGATAAGGGCGGGCTTCGAAGGAGTTTCCGCCTTCCTTTCTTCGGCATCCTCCCATCCAGGTGCGAAGTCTGGGCTATATGAAGGCTGAAGGTTTACAGTGGCAGCAGTTTTCTAGTTCATTCTGCATAATATTCGCCGTTGTCATGAACTGTTCACCATATGTACGGTCAATGTAAGTCTTGAGACCTTGGCTAATGTTGCGGTGCACGTAATACCTCGCCTCTTCGGTAGGAGTTCACAGTGTTCCATTTCATATCTGAACCTGCGATAGGAGGGTAGCACAATTCTTGTGTGCGAATTGGGTTTGCGACCGGATCGGGTTCTTCGTCATTCCTCATTCTGATCCGTTCTCTGTCTCCTCCTCTTCATGCTCCCGTACACAACCCCTTTGTCTCTCCAATGTGGTTTCCGTTGGGAAAGTTAAGTTTTCGATGTAGAAAGATTTGTAGTCGTCATTCTCTCGATATCGAACAGCTCATGGGATATCCATCGCTCTTATTCCTGAACCTCGCAGTCTTCTTCAATCCTCGCGCAATGGTTGAGTAGTGAAAGCTGAAGGTGTCTGTCAACTTTTTGGTGGTGACAAATGGCTGCGATTCCTGCCGTCCTTCAACTTGTCAACGTTCACATCCGGTGTCCGACCCGAGTTCTCCGATCAGCGATCACTCAGCGTCTCCCATCCGTTACTGATAAGTGAGCCAACTCACCCACGTGTTGTACGAAACGATGTTTTGGTTGTATATATGCCTTGAATAAGTAATTGCTTCTGTCGCTTTCGAGCCTAAATCTGAAAAAAGGAAGAGTGTGAAGAAGGATTGTCTGATGGGAATAATGAGGACCATATTGGTGGGTGTGACTGATGTGTAGCAGTAAGATTAGAGAAAGTTCAAATTGACTCGCACCTCGTAACTCGTAATATCTTCGTTTTTTATCAATCTGTATATACTAGAAGAACGAAGCAGTAGAAGAATTTATAAAGGCATACGCCATCTTAATGAAAACTAAGGATTTCATAAAAACACGAATTCAACTGGATTTGCTAAGCGTTTTTCAAGTCCAAAATGTGCGGGGATGTGGTGGCTGCTGTTGTTGTTGTGCTAGTTGAACACGCTGTAGAGAAAGGATCCATATCTTCAGGACCTCCTGTTCCTGGATCACCAGGCAAAAATACTCGCAATGAGATTGTGTTTCCTATTCGTTGTTGTGTTTGATGAAAGTCTCTTGTTTCATGAAAAGGCCAGCTCTTGAGGGTTGCAATCAAAAACCCATAATACAGTTAGCCTTTCAAGTTCCTTTTTTCGGCTGACCTTTATTACTCCTAGACCACTATTTTTTCATTGTTTTAGGTGTTGTATACTTTGTGTGTCCACCACGTCATGGTATTTTTGCCCCACTGTATCGCGTTGAACTAGATGAAATTGACGACGTGCCGATGATGGCCGCATCGCAAACGATGAAAGGTCAAGAGGTATGGGAATGTGGTTTTTTTCTATTGGTTATTCGTTTCTTCATCTACAAGTTCCTAACTTTTTCCTTAGTTACTCTTTTTATGGATCTCACTTCCTTCTGAAGATTTTCTTCAAATCAGTGTTAGTAATGTTCATGCTTATTCTACGGTGTCAGTAAGGGAGAACGGAGACAGCTGAAATCAGGATTGTAGTTGCATGCAATGTAGAATCAGTATGACGCCCCTCTCTCTTCTCTTCTCCATTTCGCCTTTACTTGTGTACGGCAAGTAGAAAGACGGTGCCCACATTCCCACTTTCGCGCGCACGCACGCGGCAGATTTATGATAGTAGTCTCGCGGCATGTAACTGCAACGACCGTGCTCACTGCTCTATGTGCATCCATACCTACTTATACCTTTTTTTGCTCACGTTCTTCGCCAGTTTGAGTTTCAAATCGGTTTAAGGTCCCTGTTCAATCTTTGAAGCAGTAGATGAATAAATAAAAATTTACCGATTGAAACAACACCGTAATCATTCGAAACTAACTCGTACATTGACCACTCTTATCAGCCATTGCACTTCTACGGAACAGGGTGGGTGGGACGATCACAGAACGCCGTTCGGGCACAAATTCACGCAACCCAAAGAGAAGGCAACATGCCAAGCAAATGCATTGGAAGACCTGTTCTTTGTCGTTGTGCATCCTAATCTAACGGCCGCTTCGCTTCAATTTTGATTGGGCATTTCATCTTTGATGCTTTGGAATTTGACGAAACATATCGGGTTTTGTTCATTCGCGAGATTGTCTCCAACATATCTTGCTTACTAGTATCCAAATTTTAACTGCCAGCAAACTCACTCGCTTCTCTCTTTTCCTGACCTATGTTCCAGCATACTGAGAAGCGCTTCAAGAGCTCTCGTGGTCCAACATAATCCACGCTTTCGCTGTCTCAGTGATTGTCGTTATTGTACGAGCTCCTGTGCTTCTGATCCTACCAAATGGCATCATATAAGATCCCCAAGAATTCGACAAGATTTTTGAATGTGAACCGCGATCTCCTTATACCCTAAGCCTGCCCCAGTCCTGTACATTATTTGACATCTCCATTACATCCAGAACTTGTTTTGACTTGATGTTTTGCTAACTGCTGTTTTAACGCCGCAGTGCGCGAAGCGAAAGTCTCACAAGTGTAAGGGATAAGAGCACGGTCCCCGGAAAGGACAAGTACGGGTTCGAGTCCCGTCCGAGACTGGAGTTTTGCCCACAAATCGCCAACCTGTGAGACATCCAGAACTTTTTCCTAACCACTTTCTGCCACAAGTAAAGCCGATGCTGTGGAACTAAGGACTCCTAATTGGGAAAGTATTCCTGGCATTTCTTACAGCCTTTAGCGGACTTGTATAAATTGATTATTTTCGTGAGTAAGCAACATATCATAATGAACAGTAGTATTTGGGTATCAGAATAGACAACCTCTTCAGAGATTTATGAAGAATTTCAATCGAAGAGCCGAGGATGGTCAGGAATTGAGCCTCGTTTTAGTAATATGTATGTGCTGATATATCGTTCGGTTAGCTCGCTACGTGTTGCTTGATGAAGTAGGAGAAAAAGTAGGAGAAAGGAAGTAGTATGCAAAGCAGTGGCTGACTTTGAAATAGGATACTCTGCTTTGAGTTGCTGACACTTCAGCGAAGCCTAACTTCCAGCTCAACCCTCATATAATGCTTTGTACATTAAAATGTCTGCTCTTAATTTTGAAATCCTTTTGTTGGAACAGGCTTGGGAAGATCCGGCCAACTTGGTGCTGTATGATTCATGCATCGAGAGACTACTGCCTCTTCCTTAGTGATATTCGTAGGCGGAGTTGAGTGAGGTAGTCACCCACAGGGACACCGAAACTGAGGTATTTCGTTGTTTTGCGCCAGTGTTAGTTTTCCTTTCTTCGCTTTCCACAGCCTGTGCGAATATGCGGGAAATCATCTACGCGCAGAGCTTTACGAGCGTAATATTTCATCTTTATTTGGAGTTTTCGAATGTTGTCAGCAGATGTAGTCGGAGTGGGAGTCGATTTTACTCTTTTGGCGCTGTTTTTGGCTATGCATGTTCTTTCACTTCTCCCGAGGTTCTAGGATACCTCTGCGGTTCATGGGAACACAATTTTTATTGTGTTCCCATGAACCGCAGAGGTATCCTAGAACCTCGGGAGAAGTGAAAGAACAGAATCGCTTCATAAAATGATAGGAACCGTTTTTTTCTTTTTTGAGGGCCTTTCCCAATTGTACGAGGTAGACCCACATCCATTACCAGCTCTGGGGACAGCCGTTGTGCTCTTAAGTTTTCCGGATAGTTTGAGACCCGTTTCAGCCCGAAACTGTCCGTGAGGGTTATCATGGGAACCTGGTTTCTGACTTTGGCAAAGGTCACGCAAAACTGAGAACGCAGTCACTAAGTAGTCTCCTGCTCATAGAAGAAGGCAGAAAGGTTGGAAAAGTCTGTACAACCAGACCTTATACTCACTTATTGACTTGTCGAGGTGTATGGCTTTCACCGTGATTTCGAGAAACCTTGGATATGAGTTTCAATTGTTATGTTGGTCCGAGAGCTGGTTCGAGGATACGTGAAGACCCCATTTCTCGTGGTTTATTACTAATGGCCCATTAAGTAGGCGGACCTAGATATGGCGAAAAGGCGGAGCAGCTCAGAGTTCAGGACCAAATACTCTTCGCTTCCAAGGCGTGTTTGAGCTGCCCTAGAGAGGGCTACAAAAATTTTTTGCTGGTAAGTCTTTCACTGTCCCATCACACCATATAAAATCGAGATTCCGTGTAATATTGCTCTGAGATGCTCTGAGGAACTTCGTTTTTTTTGTTCCAATCTACAGGATTCTAAGTATTCCATTTTTATAGTAGGAATCCAACTTATTCAAAGCCACTTCAAGCAATGTGGTCATAGAAATGGAATCCTATTGACTTCTTTCCTATGAATGTCAGAAATAGCCCATGTCGAGCCCTCACATTGTTCCGCTATTTCTTGTCACCATTTCGTATTAGCAACTTCTTTTGCTGAGAGAAGATGGACGAGGTGCTCCTCGCTTCCTGATAGTGCATGGTCAAATGGGTCGGCGTAGTAATCCGCCGGATGGTCCGGTTTCCGATGTTTGCCTAGCAGAAGGATGGACCACCGCCAGGAGAATTCGGCAGTTTCTGAAGTGTTTTCCATGAACTTCCCAATGCTCACTTCTCGCAATTATTTTCATGTGCTCCTGCGAAATTTCTATTCCCTCCTACTGTTCCCACACAACTCAACCGCTTGACATGCTTGTAGAAGAAATGTCGGGCATTGATTAGTCGAGGTTAAGTAGTACCACGCGAAAATGACGCGACAAACTGCGCCTGGACTTTCCAGCTGTCTCTTCAGTCACTAGCATAACTCTTCAGTAGAAGTAATCTCTTAAGAGCCCGATTTACGAGCAGAGGCCAAATTTCAACTTTCACTACTTATTGCCGACTTTCAAATCCTCTTATCCTACTTGCACTGTCTTACCCACCCATTATCGGTCATCACCTTGGGTCCATTATAGTTTTTGTCCATTATTTTTCTTTCTCTCCCCGAATGCCTCTCGTGAAATGCGGTGAGTCTTGCTCTGGGCCTTCCCATATGGAATCTCCAATCGAAGTTCATCAGTGGTCAGATACATGGCTTTTATTGCTTCGATAGTGATAAGCGCTCTGCTTCAAAGGTTCGGGAAGTGCACGTAACTGATAAATGAACGTAACATCTAGTAAACGAAGATAACCACTTTCTTGGTTTTTGTCGTGGAATGCACCTCAACCCAGCTTCTGTCACTTCCTGTTTCACGTTGTCCTGGTTCTTATGAAATGGCCTCGATCCGTCCGTCAATCAGATGTGTTCGTTGGGAAAGTTTCGATTATAAGTGGTTTTATTCACTTTCTCTTTCAATATCGATTCAAGTAAAGCGGTATTAGATAGTACAGCTCTGCCCTCAGTCGATAGTGTAGTCCGGTGAATGTTGTGTGGTTCCGAGTCCTTTTTTCTTCAATGATTTCTTCCTCTTTGGTGTGTTGATCTCCATTACCTTTCCGGAAGTCTCTCTGAACCGGAAATCTCTCTGAAAGGGCGTTCTGGGCCAAGTTGAACGAAGCTTTCGGCAGTTTTTCTCATCCAGAGTATAAAAAGATCTGATAAATTTGAACGGATTGTACCTTCAAATGGAAAACCACTGAAATTTCTTTCTTCTAATTGTAAGTTGACATCAAAGCTCTTTACCTGGTAACTCGGTTCAATGAGTGGAGCAGGGCCTTCATTCATCCAATTCGAAATACCAGCGGAATAAATCATGCTCATTGCCAATTCATAGAAATCGTCCATTCTCTTGACTCGAGTCGTTTCGTACCACAGTCATATGGAAGCGTAAGAAATCTAACGAAATCCCTCTGAGATCATCATAAATTGTTGTAGAGGCAGAACTCACTTGCATGGTCCTTCCCAATTTGTTTCTCCGAAAAATATGGTCCGTTACCGATTATTCCGTATTTCTAGTGCGCACACTGGCGACTGATCCAGTCGTGTTGCCGTTTTTCCTCAATTTTCCCTCTCCTTTCACATTATTTATACCCGCTTATAGACGAGTAATGAGGTAGGTTCCTGCCCACTTAGTGCGAATTACTGTAGCCCACACTAAACTTTTAACCTCTAGGGTCATTAATCCATTGGAAATAAGGATTGAACGGCTCATCAAAAGAGAATGCAGGAGCAGAGGTGATCATCAAGGCGGTCTTACATCGACCTTAAGGGTTTTTTTTTCTCGATTGATGGATTTATTGGTCCATTTACGTTTCTGAAATTCGCTCGTCAATGGCCATCACTGATTTATTGCCGGATACGATGTCCCTTTGGTGAGCTGCCTGTGAAGTGAACAAGATCAAATGCATTTTCTTTTTCAAAGATAATGCGCTACGGACATTTTCTTTGCAAAGAAGTCTCTCTAATGCCGGCTAGTCTTTGCCCTGAGAAGTGAAATATGGAAAGTTTCCCATGAACTTTTCATCTTCCGCAAGGGGTTGTGGAATTGAGATTCATGCGCTTGGTTCAGGGAGAAGGCAAATTTCGCTGTGTCTTCGGGCTCTAATAGGTACTCACTAGTTACAATTAGGATGCAATACATCTACATATGCCTCAGAGGAGCCTTGTCCTTCAGCAGTTTGAGTCATAGGCTGCAATCGAAAGTCTGACTCTTCCAAATGACGAAATCGGAAGAAACCTGACGCACATGCTTCTTCTTTGTCAAGATTTTACGCTCAGTTTGAAAAACCCCAACAACCGTTTTATCAATGACGTATCGTCGATCATGTTACTGGTGATATATTGGTAAGCAATGGCTACCAGTGATTCAGTGACACCATTATTCATCCCTTCCCTGTTGTTCGTTATTGTTTTAGCCACATGATGAATGATTCTGAATTTCTAAGCAAAATCTATTGATTCGCGGTTTCTATCTGATAATCGGAAATTCCATTGCAGAGATTATCGAGATCGGCACTGCCGGCTCTGCAGTTGCGTAACGTCTTCCGTCCCGAGGAACCGATGCAGACGTCGATCGCTTCCGAGCAGTTCATGGAAGGATCTACTGTGAGTGCGACAAATTGTATCAGCAGTTCTTCCTTTTTAGTTTTTTTTTACTTTTCTATATTTTTTTGGATATGGCTTTGCTTTAAAGTCATTGAATACATTCCTATTTGTGCATGGCTTGTTTACTCTGGTTTATTCTCTTGTTTATGCGAAGATGTTGTAGTGGCAAGTAGTGCACTATCTCACATGCATGGTCACGGGTTCGAATTCCGTGTCAATATACGCCTAGGCCAAGCAAGCCTTCCTTCCCTTTGGAGTCAGCTGGCCACCGCAATTCATTGTATAGGCCACATAGGCATACAATAAGCCCTACGACTCTGAATGGAAGTCGAATGCGTGGACGCACCCCTCTGACGGGATCGATTAATGCGCCAACACTTTATCCTTATCCTTTTAAGAATGGTGAGTGAGTGTAAATACAAAGAATGATTGTGAAAAATAATCATGTGCAGACCAGCAGGTCTAGTCAACCTTTGGTTGTGGGCTGGCTAGTTGATATTAAAAGGAAGTAGAACGCTGATTACATAGTTCACCGAGATCGACCTTACTTTTTTTGAAGCTGCACATCAATATTCCAGAAGAATTGAAATTATCGGATTCTGTTGGTTAGTGTTGTTACGATGACCTCATCGATGTATTTTACGCGATCGCAACGGAATGCCAACAAGCAGGGGATAGTGGGTTGTAAGAAGAGTCGCTTCACATTTTTCTGCTTTCTTCCGCTCTTATATATTCAGAGGAGCATTTGTGTTCCAGTTCTGGAATTGAGGTCGCCCAGGGTAATGTCCGGGCTTTTCTCGCAACATGACGGATGATATATATTTTGTCTATGCTTATGTGCAAAGTTTTCACAGGAGCATCGATTTTTTTCCTAAATTGGCATTAGGATTACATCCCTTGTTGAAAATTGTGACAGTAGTAGCCTATTTCTTTCACTAGAATGGAGATGATAGCGGAGGAATCGTTGCGAACGCTAACAAAAAGAGATGGTTTCCCTGATTTTTCTTTCTACGCCGACGCTGCAATACAACAGTTGTGATACGAAGTGATCTGTTGTAGGTCGTTACTTCAGAGCATTTGGGTCCTACCGTGTATGAAATGATATCCTTAACCGTATTCTTTCTTGAGGCCATATTGGACTTGAAACGCTCATTTTAGTAATTTTTGTTCTGTGTTTACTTAGGTAATTTAGTGAAGTGCCTTCAATATGACAGCTGCAATAGATAACTCGGTAACTTTGATACTTCAAAATTTCTGTGCAGGATCTCCCAAGTCTTCTGACTTCATGATGTAACCTATGTATTTCAGTTCTCCAATGCCTCTTGGGGAGATAGTGATGCTATGGTGTGTTCTCATGCCACCTACATTGTCCCTCCCGGCGTGAGTGGTCGTTTTTCATAGCTTGGGTTCACATTACGCAATCCTTCAATTTTTTAACCATCACTTGTGTTTCCAATCAATTTTGCTGATTTCAGCGTAGCACACTTGACGAGATTGAAGATTATGATTTGATGAGCATCCCAGCTCCCAAATCGATTCTCNGCCACCTACATTGTCCCTCCCGGCGTGAGTGATCGTTTTTCATAGCTTGGGTCCACATTACGCAATCCTTCAACTTCTTTACCATCACTTGTGTTCCCGCTCAAATATGCTAATTTCAGCGTAGCACACTTGACGAGATTGAAGATTATGATTTGATGAGCATCCCAGCTCCCAAATCGATTCTCAGCTATAGGGAAAGATTGCCAGATGAGGAAGTTACGCGTGAGTAATTCAGAAAATTGTTTTAATAGTGCTCCTACTCCAAAAAGCGGTATTGTTTTGAACTTGTAGAACATTTGTACGAAAAAAATGAAGCTGGTCTTCGGGCCACCTTTTTCTACCTAGGATACAACGGTCCCGTTTCAGAAGAAGGCTATGTTCACTTCGGTACTTTCGATTCTTTATTGTTTCAGTAGGCACATCCGTGGTTCTGGACGAGTCTCGAGTCGGTGTTGAGAATCTTCCGGTAGTGGAAGACGACGACGACATCGATGACGAAGACGACCTTCAGACTCCTCTTGTTGAAGCTCCAAAATGGCAGCCCTTGAGCAGTTTTGCGCCTGCCCCTTCCATAATTGAGTCAGTGAGATCGACGTCAGCAGACGGTTCACCACAGGATGCGCCTCGCGACAAGGACTGTAGGTTTTCGTATACTTTCGTGGAATGTTTATGGATCTCTTCTCATCGTTATATTGATCAATTACTTTTCCAAAATAATTGGAACTAAGAAAACACTGAGAGTAGCTACTACTCCGAATTGGGGTTATGTCGTACTTATTGTTAGTGAGGGCTTTCTTTGCAACATTATGTGTGTGCTTCTACCTAATCCATCTCATGGTCAGAAAAAAAATGCGCTGGGCCGCTCCGTTTTTATTCCGAGCACTTCATCTCCCGTTAAACGGTCATCTCGTGAATGCTGCTTTGAACTATCGTTATAGGCTTTAAATCATGCTCAAAACCTCATTTGGATCTGAATTTGAGTTGTTTTAAATGGGGAAATACTTGCGTTACCCGTGCAGTTGGGTTCAGAATGGCAGCAAACGGCTATGGAGAATTACCCACATACCTCCGTCGGCTTTCCTTGGGTGCATAAATTCAGAGCAATTACGTTGAATTCGAAGTGATTTTTGTGTGATGTAAAAAAACAAAAGAATAAATTATGTGTTGTTTTTGGGTAAATGCTTAGCGGTCCCAGAAGAGAAGTTTTTCTGCAAAGGTCATATATAGCTATTGTACTATGTCATTTAATATTTTTATAGGAATTAATATTAATATATTTGTTAAACAATTGTTAATATTTGTTAAACAGCAATGGTAGGGTTGAAATCATACATTTGTTTTGTTTTTATTGTTGTTTTGGTTTGTTCTTTGTGTCAGTTTCACACGACTATTGCTCGTGTAATAAATAATGATAATAATAACACTTATAANTTCTTCCTTAATCATAAGGGGTCTGTCTTGTTCCTTCCTATTTTCTCGACCAAATTTCCCGTTTCATGAGGTGAACTTTATGATCTCAGTGAGTGGTTTAACTGCTTGTGTATCGGACATTTTCATATCAGGAGGCATATGCTGTCCCTCTGCATATCTTGCAGCTTCACAGGACCAAACTCACCTCAGATCAAGGTCTTTCTGTTTGTCACATATCATCAGTTTCCTCCTTTCTAATTTCTGGAGGTGAAAGCGCTTCTCTGAGCATCGACAGAATCCGGCAAACTGGTGTGGGCTTACGCCTTTTTGGGAGCTACCAGTTTATTGCGCATTAGAGAGCAGTTATTAGCTGACATTTTTTATTCTATTGATAATTATGTAAAGAAGAAAGTGATCATGTGTCTTGAAAATGGTCGTAAACTCACGACTAAAATTGCACACGATTCTTTGGCTGTCGTTCCAGGGGAGACGGGCAATAGGATCGGCTTGTGTAATTGATTCGCCGCGCGCGGCAGTCGCGAAGCATTCGTTCGACATTATTACAGCTCTAGCGTTCTTCATACAGCTCAATCGATATGCAATCATTATTTTAGGCATGATTCTAATGTTAGTCCTATTTTTCCTGTATTTCTTACGTGTTGCTGCATTCTGCTATATTCCTTGCGCGCGGCGTCCCTCTCGCCGCGACGCGGCAGTTTCGATCCTACTGCATCACGCCCTCGTTTCGGTCTTGCCGCTTTCTTCAGAGCTATTGGCCTTCATCCCTTTACGGAAGGCGAAAAGGTCAAAAAATTAACCAATGAAATTTCTACAAGCTTGACTTTGGCACCAAAACCATATTCTATTTAAATATAGAAAAAACATTCCTATTCAAAATTTATACTGTACAGTATAATAAAATTAAATTATTTGTTTTTTTATCGGTTAAGACAATCCAAGGTTGTGCCATATAGCTCAAAAGCGGAAATTTAAACGATGATTCTATTTCATCCACCGAAAAAAGTAGAAATAGATTAGAAATAGGGAAAGGAAGATGCCTAGAAGAGCTTATATAAATCACACAAAGGCAAATAAGTTTTTGACTGGGGCCAATCGCTCTTCATAGCAATGGGAGAACCCTGCAGGGCTCAGCGGTTGAACTCACATGGGTCATAAGGTGTGGGTATCGTAGATGTTTGCTGCGAGCTTCTTCTCCCTACGATGGCGTGAATGCGTGTATGATAGGTTCTGAAACTGAGCACTTTTCTTTGTATTCTTGGACTGTCCCCTCCAACAAGGGCTATGATCCGTCTGTATGGTTAATCCGGCAGTGCCCGCGTTCTCCTCTAATATTACTGCTTTGCGCCGCTTGTTTAGGTTCTCAGAGGTTTTCTTCCCGATCTAGATGTTGTGTTTGTTTGTTTTCTTTTCACACACCTCTTTCATTTTGTTCAGATTTACATTTTTCCTTACGGCTGCCAACTCCTTGCAGTGTAGAATTCCTCTCTCTATTGTCGGAGCGCGTCCACTAGACGCATCACAAATAAACGAATGAATAAATAAACTTACCGCTTGAGTGCTGCAGGATCTACTTTGGGTAGAACTTTCGTTTATTGGATTTTGAGAAATTCGTTGTCTATTTTTCAGTATCCCTACGTGCAAATTCAAGGCAATCGGATGACACGGGCTACAACGACGAGAGTGACGCAAGTCGCTTGGAACACGATGACGTGAGGCTTTTTTCCGTCTAGAACTTTTGGCAGTTCCTTTTTTTCCTAGACCCACCTAAGGCCAATAGTTCTCGATCATTCGATGAGCAAATTTGAAGAATCTGGTTAATACTTGTAGGGCATATGGCAGCACTGCGAGATCTAATGGTCCTTTTTACTTTTGGGGATATTGTTCGATAGTTCGAGAGCATCCCCTCAAGAGCAGTAGACAACGATGGTGCCTGCGTGACCCTTTAATCTGATACTCGCTAAAGTCGAGGAGCACCTGTTAGGAATTGAGGCGACATAGTGAGATTGCGGCCAGACAGATCTATGAACAAGCCTCGCTACTGGGTATTATGAATGGGGTTGTTTTCTCTCCCTTTTGCGATTTATCACCCAGCCACGATGAGGCCGACTTTGCTTTTTTTGCCCTTTGCAGTCCCGCATAGTTAACAAAAGGCTTGTTTTGAGAAAAAAATAGGTAATTCGATTTGATCGGCTCGTCCTCACAGCTTTCTGCCAAATACGCTCGAATATGCTGAAAACGGTAAGTGCAAGTAAAGGGTACCTAACAAGGTTTGTTTCGATCCATGGGCGCAAGCCACACTTTGTTCTTCTTGCTAAAAGTGACAATACGGCGTTAATGTCGCGTACTTCCATCGCTTCTGGACAAAAGCCCTCGTTGGGTAACGTTCTCGTGGTATTTCCCTACTTGCCAGCCTAAAATGGCGGGATTGTAGCGGCCATTCACATATCTAAGCTGATATTTCGCGAAAAGGCCAAACTCAATAGGTATATCCACAGATATGGCAACATATAGCCCTGGGCCCTTGGTGATACTTGAGCAGCAGCTGAGCCTGCCTCGCACGGTGCTCTATTCATAGTTGTCCAGTTTAGTCCTAGAGGGCCCACTTCAGGAAAGAACAACTACATCATTGAAACATGCATGTCAGGGCTCTTAGGAAACTATCCCTGGCTAGTAACCTTGATAAGCGAGGCAGGCTCTGAGGATTTTGCTCCCGAGTGAGCTTTTTTTATGGTGTTTTTTCCAAACTCTCACTTTGTGTTTTGTACAACTCCGAGTGTCCTACGGCTGTTCGTCAATTCGCTTGCCGTTGTAATTCACTGACAAGCCGAATTGGTGTAAGTCTCTGGGGCCTCAGCAGCGAGACCGCGGAGGAAGAACGCTGTTGATAGGGAACGCTTACTTGGGCTTTTTTTGCACTTGTTCTCCTACTAACGGCTTTTCTTTTGAACTGACCACTTTACTTTGTTTTTCTTTTCATTTTCGTTCTATTCGTTTTATTTGGTTCTTAACTTTTTCTGTTTACTAGTGCATCTGTTGCTTGGAGGAGTCTACTAATTTTTTTCGCGCGATAAAACTTTTTTTTAATTTTGCAAATAGCGGAATAAATTTTATAATGGCAGCTGTCGAGGTGGTTTCTCTGTCGCTCTGTCGCTGATCTGAAATATCAAAATAGGTCAAGACTATAAACAAACAAGTACTCGAAATTGACAGATATTGACATTCAGAGCAATAACTTTGGGAGTGTTTTTGAAAAATTTCCACTCCATCTTTTCCTCTTCCACCTAGAACAGCTGTATCATGTATAGCTAGGTCACTATTTATTTTGACTTGATGTTTTGTTAATTGCTGTTTTACCGCCGCATTGCTCGAAGCGAAAGTCTCACAAGGTTGGCGATTTGTGGGCAAAACTCCAGTCTCGGACGGGACTCGAACCCGTACTTGTCCTTTCCGAGGACAGTACNGTGTCCCGCGTTCTCCTCTAATATTACTGCTTTGCGCCGCTTGCTTAGGTTCTCAGTGGTTTTCTTCCCGATCTAGATGTTGTGTTTGTTTGTTT